CGAACTTGTTTGGTCAAAAACCAAGCACAAGGGAATCTTGAACTGATACTGTCACCTCCCATCTATGGATATATATTGGATATATATATAATAATGGATAAAGAGTTGATTTCCCAGTGCTCTTTGCACACTGTTTTTCCCAATCTGCACTTCTAAGAAAAGCTCAGATTCTTAATTAAAAGATCACCAGAAAACTGTTTACCCAAGACCTAATCATCTACTACTTTCTACTTGGAAATCCCACAGGAAGCAGGATTTACCCTATTTCTGTCCTTGTGAATTTCTATGAAGCTTTGTATCTCTCAGGGCTGGCACGCTCAGTAGCTGGAGCAGAGAAATCCCTGGAGTGACAGCTACAAGCCCAAGCAGAGATACTCACATCCTGAGAAGAGCTTGGTTTCCTCTCTCCTGCCACATAAGCCGACTCCTCCTCTGGAGTAGCCCCAAGGCGATACCCTCCTCCTGCAAAAGGCTGTGAGAGAGAGGCAGGCACAGGGTTACAGAACCACACACACCCAAGGAGCTGCTTCCCTTTCCCACCACCCCTGTGGGTGAACAGGGACTTCACGGCATCAGAAACATCTCCTGCCCTGCAGGCAGTGACAGCTTCAGCAAATCAGTGTGGCACAACAGAGTGGTTTTTCTTGCCACTGTGACACACAAAATTGAGCTGCACTAAGAGAGGAGTCCAGACTTAGCTGCTGAGATAATTCCAGGACTCCTCAGTACCAAATAGCTGGCAGGGTGGAACCTTAACTGAAACGGGGAACAGAAGAAAGAACTCCTCCCTCCTCACCTTTGGCTTGCTCGTCTCGCCACCGCTCTTGGCTGTCCGGTCGACCGCCACCGCGCCGTGCTCCTTGGCTCCCTTGAACAGATCCTCCACCAGCTCGTTGGGACTCTTCTTCCTCGGAGGACCCACGATCTGCTGGCCACTCCTCTCTGAGCCACCGGCATAAAACCTGACAGAAAGAACCCAGCTGGGTCAGGGCTCACTTGCTGGTGCTTGTGCAGCTCAGGGAACCCCTTGGATCTACAAACACTGGCTACCCCCAGTGTGTCTCCCACTGCAGCCACGTGCGAGCTCCTGTGCTGCAAAGACTTTCTTTTTATGTCAATTCCTGTAAATTACCCGTGGATCAATAGCAACAAAGTGGTAACAGTGCTCAGACCTGGGAAGAGGAGCAGCCCAGAGGGACAAGCCCAGTTTTAAACACTGCTACCAGCTCAATTACCCAGCTGAGCAAGGCTTCCAGCAAATCTCTAACCTGACAGAGCAGCATCCAGCTGGAATTCTGAGGGAAGGCACACGTTCATGCCACGCAAGGGATGGATCTCAACTGGAAGCAATGGATGCACAGTCAGTGAAGTGCAATTAAGCATTTCTGGAAGATTGGGTTTATTAGCTTCCAGATGGCTTGTAACACACAGAGTGAGCTCCCTGCTGCCTGCAGACCACAGCCCATCCAGGCTGAGCCACCCCTTCAGACACATCAGTTCCATTCCATTTACCTTGCCCGTCAACCTTAAGGGTATTTAACTACTTAGAGCTGACATTGTAGGACACTGTCCTACTAATACTCCATGTTCCCCAGGAAAGGGGCTCTACGTTTTTATTTCTGACTCCACACTCTGTTACTTTACCCTTACCAAAAAGAACCCAAAACCAAAACCCCGACCAAAATAAACACTCAAAGTAAGAAAACCAATCCCTGTATAATCCCACATTTCTGTTCCCTGTGGACACAAATGAGCTGTTTTCTATTCTTAACCCAGGCCTTCCACATCCCACTTTAGGCTTTTAGAGCTGAGCTGAGCACGTGCTTGTGCAGAGGCTTTGCACTGACAAACCTGCCCTGTCAAACCTCAAATGTTTCATTACAGGAACTTCAAATCCGTGTAAATTGGGTCTTTTCAAAAAAGCTGTGCACAGGCAGTAAGCCCTCCCAGAAGGGATAAACACCCAGCATTTGAGCCTTCAGCTGCAAACTCACCGCTGTCCCTCCTCCTCTTCATCATCCTCCTCCTGCGCATGCACAAGGTCTCTGAAGGAGGTTACTCGGTGGTCACTGCAAAAATCCAGCAAGAAGGATGTTAGCCTCCAGACACATTCCCAGCTGGAACATTCCACACTGCAACAGACTCCTTCTGCAAGGTGGGCTCTGTTCACCAACACCTGACCTGAGAGAACTTTTCCTTCATGACAAAGGCAGCAGATCCTCTTTGGGCCTGGACAGCATTCCCTTACTGTAAAGGGATTTGACAAGGTAAAAGTCACTTTCTTGCTTTGTAAAATGCTCAGCTTGATCAGCTCAAGTGTCACACAAAGTAAGAAAATATTCTTCCTGCAGAAATATGATCTGCTTAAATGAAATGTCACTATCAGACTGTTTTTAATGTCAAAAGATAAATCAAGCTTTTGCTGAGCAATGAGGCAAGATTTCTTAACTGATCTCTGGCTTAGTTGTGCAATAACACCCATGCCTGTGATGTACAAACATTCAGGTTTTCACTGTTTCTAGAGAACCACACAAGCAAACCTAAACACAGAGCTACTTCTACTGAAAATTAACACAATCAGTGGTTTAGAGAGTGTGTTTTGTCAGCTTTCCAGTATGGAGCTGAAGCTCCCTCCTCACCTGGCTCCAGTGCCTCTGGATATGGAGCTGGGTGTGGGCTGGGGAAGGGTCAGGATGTCCTCATCACCCCCGTCCTCATAGAAACTGGCAAGAGCAATCTGGAAGGGAAAAGCACCAAAGCTCCTCAGGAAAAACACACACAAACAACCCAGCTGAAGCACCTGCCACGCTGGATCTCCTAAGGCACCTCACACTAAAGACACTTCATGTCATTTCCCCTGTTGCAGGTCCTGGCAAAGAGGAGGCCTCAGCAGGTTTACTTTTGGCTGTGTCATGGCAGGACACTCACTGCTGCAGGGATGTCACCCTCCCTGTCAGGGACTGTCAGGGCCCTTCTGCAGCCCTTCTAGAGGAGTTATGCCAAAATAACTCCTCTGAAACAGCAGCTTTTGTGCCATGCATGAGCAGACTCGGAATTTAACACAGCCAGTTTGAGGAGGAGCAGGTCAGAATGGTGACTGACTCCCCCTCAGTTTGTTTGCTGATAGCGCCAACAGCACAGCACTCACCAGCATTCCAGGAAAACCTACATAACCCCTCACCTTCCGCTCCAAAGTGAACGACAGAACGAGGAGAGGCCTCCGTCTCAGCCAGCCCACGGCTCCGCCACAAGGGCTGAGCCCGGCGACGGACGGGGGCGAGGCCTGAGCCTGCGGGACACCGACCTCCGGCCCAGCGCTGCCCCCGCCAGCGCCACGGCCTCTCGAGCCGCGGCCCCGCCGATCCCCGCACCGCCCCGGGGAGGGCGGAGGGCAGCGGCAAAGGTACCTGGAGGTCCCAGCCGGCAGACTCGAGGAAGAACCGCGCTCGCTCCTCCTCGGCGCCGGTCACGGCCACGAACTCCCTCAGCGCCTCCTCCCGGTCCGCCATCTTGCCGCGGTGCAGCGCCCAAACCGCGCCGGGCCGCCCCGCCCGCCCCGCGTGCGCCGCCAAACCCGCCCGGCCGGAAACACCCGCAAACAGCGGCCCCTGCCGGACAGGAGGTGGAACTGCACCGCGCCCGGCCCGGCGTGAGCACCGGGCACCGGGATGGGCAGAACCGGGCACCGGGCACCGGGCACCGGGATGGGCAGAACCGGGCACCGGGATGGGCAGAACCGGGCACAGAGCACCGGCCCCGGGATGGGCAGAACCGGGCACCGGGATGGGCAGAACCGGGCACCGGGATGGGCAGAACCGGGCACCGGGCACCGGGCCCCGGGATGGGCAGAACCGGGAACCGGGCCCCGGGATGTGCAGAACCGGGCACCGGGATGGGCAGCGCCGGGCACCGGGATGGGCAGCACCGGTCACCGGGATGGGCAGAACCGGGCACCGGGCACCGGGATGGGCAGCGCCGGGCCCCGGGATGGGCAGAACCGGGCACTGGGATGGGCAGAACCGGGCACCGGGCACCGGGATGGGCAGAACCGGGCACCGGGATGGGCAAAACCGGGCACCGGGCACCGGGATGGGCAGAACCGGGCACCGGGATGGGCAAAACCGGGCACCGGGCACCGGGATGGGCAGAACCGGGCACCGGGCACCGGGATGGGCAGAACCGGACACCGGGCAGCGGGCAGCGGGCACCGGGATGGGTAGAACCAGGCACCGGACACCGGGCACCGGGATAGGCAGTGCCAGGCACTGGGATGGGCAGCACCGGGCACTGGGATGGGCAGAACCGGGCACCGGGATGGGCAGAACCGGGCACGGGGCACCGGGCACCGGGATGGGCAGAACCGGGCACTGGGATGGGCAGAACCGGGCACGGGGCACCGGGCACCGGGATGGGCAGAACCGGGCACCGGGCACCGGGATGGGCAGCGCCGGGCACCGGGCACCGGGCACCGGGCACCGGGATGTGCAGAACCGGTCACCGGGATGGGCAGCGCCGGGCACCGGGATGGGCAGCACCGGTCACCGGGATGGGCAGAACCGGGCACCGGGCACCGGGCACCGGGATGGGCAGCACCGGGCCCCGGGATGGGCAGAACCGGGCACTGGGATGGGCAGAACTGGGCACCGGGCACCGGGCGTGGGGATGGGCAGCACCGGGCACTGAGCACCGGGATGGGCAGCGCCAGGCACTGGGATGGGCAGTACCGGGCACCGGGAATTGGGATGGGCAGCACGGGACACCGGGATGCGCAGCACCGGGCACTGGGCGTGGCGGTGGGCAGTACCAGGCACCGGGATGAGCAGAACCAGGATGGGCAGCACCAAGTACCGTGTGTGTAACACTGGGCACTGAGCACTGGGACGGGCAGCAGCGAGCCCGGTGTGCAGCACGGAGTGCTGGGGATGGGCAGTGCCAAGCCCCAGCGCAGGGCGAGTGTAAGGGCCGGGGACTGACGGCGCGGAGCAGCCCACGGCAGCCTCTGCCTCCCGGTTCCTTTATTTCCAGGTTCACACATCGCTGCTGGCAGTGGCCAAGCCCTGAGACGCGGCTCCAGGAGCTGGGGACTGAGGTGGAGCGGGACAGGACAACATCTCCAATGCCTTTCTCTTCATGCGCTTGAAGAGGAAGAAGAGAAGCCCGCCGAGGAGCCCCTTCTCCAGCAGGATAGCCATCCACAGGAGGACGAGGCTGGACAGAAGGTTGTCACCTGCAGTGGGAACAGAGGATGTGAGCAACCAGGGCTCAGGGAGAGGCATCCCAAACCCCGCAGGGAGCCTTTCCTGGGACTGCAAGCTTCCTCAGAGGGTGACACCACACAGCTGCCCTGGCAGGCACCCCATCCCAGCAGCTCTGACTCACCTTTTGCCATCTGCAACCCGTTGCTCAATGTCCCTTGGGCCGGGTTGGAGATCCACAGGAAGGTTGAGTTGCCGGCAGGGGCCTGGGCATCGTGCACCACCATGCAGGTGATTGTGGACCCGTTTTTCTCCTCGCTGGCTTGCACCTCCACCTGGCTTCTCAGCTCAAACAAACGCTGGGGCAGCTCCGATGGCCGGGAGACGTTCTCCACCTTTATCTCAATCCCATTCTCCAGCCAGGAAACGGAGACATCTGCTGGGTAAAACTCCTTCACAAGGCAGGTGAAGGTCACGGTCTTGTTCACCTCAATGGGGCTTGGCTCAGCGCGCACTTCGATGCTGGGGGGAACTGGAAAGAGAGGCAGAGCTCGGTGGTTGGTGTCCCCTGCTCTGCTGCCCACAGGGACCCCCGTCCTCCTCCCAGGGACCCCAGCCCCACAGCAGCTGACAGCAGTGTGAGTCCCCCAGCCCTCACCTCGCAGGACTCTGCTGAGCCGGTAGCTGCCACGCAGCGGGGACGGCAGCGTGGAGTGCTGCACCTCGCAGAGGAGCTGAGAGAGGACGTCATCCTTCTGCAGGGTCACCGTCGCTCTGCTGGACATGTTGTAGGTGTTCATCCTCCATTTGGCGATCTGGGGCGGCTGACCTGCCATGGGGTTCTCGTTCTTGAACCATTTCACCCCAGTCTCTCCAGGAAAGAACCCTCCAGTCGTGCAGGTGAAAGGCACCGACTGCCCCGGCCTCGCTCTCTGCTCAGGCCCGGACACGAGCGGGGGGCTGGGTTTGGCTGTGGGGAGAAGCATGGGGCCATCAGACCAGGCTCTGCCCCCTGCCCAGCCCTGGGCCTGCCTGGAGCAGAGTCTCATACAAGGCCATGGGGATGGCCCATGGGATCCTCTCCTGGACCAGCCCTGAGCCCCTTCCCCATCCCTGCTCTACCTGAGCAGAGCCCGCTGGGCTGTTCCCATCAGGAGCTGCTCCAGGAGCCCCACTCACCTTGCACAGACACCTCTGTGCCACGGCCATGCTGAAACACCTCATCATCACCAGTGTTCCCCTTGACAAACTTCACACAGTAGTAGGTGCCCATGTCCTCGGGCTGAACGTTCCTGATGTGGATGGTGAAGTCTGTGTCAGACTTATCCACTGCTCTCGTCACACGGGAGGAGGGATCCTGCTTCTCCTGGTCATAGACAGTCTTGTTCACACGGCCCCAGCCCTTCAGCCACATCACAGGACCAGGTCCAGCGAGTCCAGATGTGGTGCAGTTCAGGGTGAGCGTCTCCCCCGCTTCCACCGTCACCTTGGCCTGGGGCTGCTGCAGACGGAATTCCTGACCCGCCTGGGCGCTCACACCTGGGCAGAGAGACAGAAAGGTTTGGAATTGACAACAGGCCCCAGGGCTGGGGCACAGCACAAGGCACCATCAGACCCCCTGAGCCCGGAGCATGGGACAGGGAGATATTCTCGTCCCTTGTCCCCCAGGCTGCTGGGAACTGCAGCATGAGGAGAGCCCAGACCCTTGCTGGAGTAAACTGAATTTCATCTGGAGATAAAAGCAAGCTGGAAGGGAGGCTGTCAGTGGAGATCCCTGAGTACCCATGGGCACAGGGAAGCACTGCCAGGCCAGCAGGGTGGGAAACCGTGCATGGGAAATGTGATGGGGCTGTGCAGGCTCCACTCACCCGGCTCTCTGCAGAGCAGGAGCAGCATCAGGCACATGAGAAGCAGTTCCTGTGCCACCAGATCCATGGGTATTCCACGCCTTGCTCCCTGCTGGCTGGGCTCTGCTCAGCTGGATTCAGCTCTGTTGGACTCTGCTGGACTAGGCTCAGCTGACTCCGCTGGACTGAGCTTACTTTAGCAGGGTGTTGGACTCTCGCCCAGCAAAAGGGAAGGAAAGGGGCTACCACCAGTTCCTCCTTGCAATCACGCCCCATTTGCTTCTCAAACGAACACTTATCTCCTACCACATCATCTCCTATCACAACGCTGGTCCATAATGGCAATGTCCACCCGCTTTCCCCTCAGATGCGTGCCACAGCCATGGGCACAGGCACCGAGCAGCCAGCAAGAGGGACCCCGATCCAGCAGGCTCCCCCACACACGGCCAGCCTGTGGCTCAGCACCCTGGGGTGCCCAGCCCTTGCCAGCAGGATCGGGGTGCAGGATGGTGTCTCCCGCGGGTCGGTGGTGCAGAGCAGATCCCGGGATGCACCGAGCATCCCACATCCCGAAGCTCCGCTGCTCCTGCCCCTCACCGGAGCGGGGAGGACGCAAAGCCGCTCCCTGTCCCGAGCCCAGGGCAGCCTCTCGGTGCCAGGCGGTCCGGGAGTGCTGCCCGGCGGGGTCTTGGTAGGGTGATGCCCGGTGGGGTCTCGGTAGGGTGATGCCCGCCGGGGGTGATGCCCGCCGGGGGTGATACCCGCCGGCCCCGAGCAGACACCAAAGCGTTAACCACCCGCTCGCCTCAATTTCCTGTCCCGCTTCCCCTTCCCTAAAGTTTGGGCAGAACCCATGGCCGCGGCAGCAGCTCCGCTCCTGTCCGGGCAGCGAAGCCCCGTCCAGCGGCAGCTCTCGGGTGAGTCAGAATTGGGGCCCCCCAAATCCTCTCGGAGCACCCCTGCCCCGTCTGCCCCATAAACGCGAGTGGGCGGCAAAGATAAACACCGGGCGGGGGGGAGGGTGGTCCTTCCTCAGCACCTTTTGGGGTCAAAGCATCCCCGGGGGTGCAGAGCATCCCCAGCCCGGGGATGGGCGCATCCCATTCCAGCCCTGCCGAGCTGCTGCCAGACGTGTCAGGGACTTTGGGCAGGAGAGGTCTGGGGACTGGAGGGGTTTTGGGGACCCAAGGGGTTTTGAGGAGGGATTTTGGGACAAGAAGGGGTCAGGGGGCTGTGCTGGGCTACAGGGCTGCACATCCCCTCCTAGAACACTGGTTCCTGGCTGGCTCCTGGCTGTGAACCCCAATTCCTCCAGAGCCCCAGTGATCCTGGCTGGTGTGGAGCAGGGCCAGGGTGTTAATGTTTAACAGCACTCAGGAGTTTTTCCTGCCAGGAATTCCCCTTTGCTCCCTCTGCACCTCTCTGGCCTCCAGGCGGCTGCAGCACCTCCTGCAAATGACAGAACAGGATGCAGATTTATCAAATCAAAGAATTGCAGAACTGTTTGGGTTGCAAAACCCCTCTGGAATACTCGTGCCCAACCATTAATCCAGCACTGCCAAGATCACCACTAAACCATGTGCCCAAGAGCCACATCTAGGTGTCCTTTAAATCCCTCCGGGGTGGTGACTCCACCACTGCCCTAGGCAGCCTGCTCATTTTTCAGATTTGCCCCTTGCCCATTTTGAACCAGTTTTTGAAGGGTTTCCTCCCTCCCAGTGCCTGCATGTTGTCTCTGCCACTTCCCAGGATATCTCTCAGCTGCAAGCTGGGGGACACTGGGGCTTCTCTGTCTGTGAGGCTGCCCTTGCCTCACCCCACCGCTCATCCCTGAACTCTCCTGTCTCTCTGCCCAGGTGTGAGTGCCCAGCTGGGTCAGGGCTTCAGTCTGAAGCAGCCCCAGGCCAAGGTGGCAGTGGCAGTGGGGGAGACGCTCACCCTGAGCTGCACCACATCTGGAAACGCTGAACCTGGTCCTGTGATGTGGCTGAAGGGCTGGGGCAGTGTGAACAAGACTGTCTATGACCAGAATAAGCAGGATCCCTCCTCCCGTGTGACGAGAGCAGTGGATAGATCTGACACAGACTTCACCATCCGCATCAGGAACGTTCAGCCCGAGGACATGGGCACCTACTACTGTGTGAAGTTTGTCAAGGGGAACACTGGTGATGATGAGGTGTTTCAGCATGGCCGTGGCACAGAGGTGTCTGTGCATGGTGAGTGCAGCCCAGCAGGACACCTCTTCCAGGGAGCTCATCCCATAGCCCCCACCCTGCCCACAGCAAGATCCTGCTCTGCCCCACACCCACCACCCTCTCCTGCTCTGCTTCTGTCTCCACAGAGGCAACCCTGCTTCCTGGAACGGTGGCTGCAGCTGTAGTGCTCTGCTTCCTCCTCCTCCTCGGCCTCTTCATCGCCCTTTGCATGTACAGGAGGAAGCGCCAAGGCAGGGCGGGCAGCCCCTGCCCAGCCAGGACAGTGGCCATGGGCAGCTCCTCATCTGTCCCTCTGCAGTGCTGTGCAGGGACCCCCGGTACCTCCAGGTTTGTACTCAGCACCTCTTCCTTCTGCACCCGCTTTATCTTGGCTTCCTTTCTTGTCTGGAGCTGTAACTTGCCCCAGAAAAGGTCCTTTGCTCCCAGGTGCACTGTTGTGTTGGTTCTCTCTGCGTTTCATGGGAGTTTCATGGTAGGGAGCACCCAGTACCAGGGAGCTCCTGCAGCCCCTCACCGTGTGTTTGAGCCCAGCCCAGACGTGCAATCAGCACTTTGTCCCTAATTTCTGCCTTCAGCAGGGGCATCCTGCTGAAATTTGGGAAGGAAATTGAGGGCTGTGCTGGGTGGGGAAAGGGCCTGGCTTCCTTTGGTTCTGATGCCATCCTTATCCTTCCCCCTACAGTGAAGTCCTGGATGCAGAGAGCTCCCACCCGCCCAAGCAGGTAGGAGTGAGCTGTGAGTATGGGGAGCACATCCCATGCTGATGGCCTGGCAGGAGCCCTGCAGGACTCTGGGGCCAGGGGGGACATCGGGTGGGCAGCAGCTGCACACTCTGCACCATAGCACCACCTCTGCAGCTGTGGCATCACCAGCCTGGCTTGAACCTGGTTCTTGGTGTTGTCCTGTGCAGGGCCATGAGGTGGTCTGGGGGATCCTTGTGGGTCACTTCCAGCTCTCAACATTGTGATTTAGGGTTATTTTCGCGAGCCTTTCCTTGTGGCAGCATTCCCCATCTGTGTGCGCTTTTGCAGCAGAGCAGCAAGGAGGAGAACGACATCCACTACGCCGACCTGCAGCCCCTGCCCCCGGCCCCGTGGCGCGGCAGGAGCCCGGGCACAGCCCCCACCGAGTATGCCAGCCTCAGGGGAGCTGCCAAGTGACGCGTGGCACCGCTGCCTGCGCCGCCAGGCCGTGTCAGGGTGCAAGAAGGGACGTTTCTGCAGGGCACAATGAGGAAGAAGTGGGGCCGTTTGCATGGTGCACCCTGATCTCAGCTCGGCACACTGTGCTCACCATGTTTGCATCTCAGGGAAGCTCTCCCAAGAACTGGAAGCTTTCTCGACCACAGGATCAGACCACGAGGCCAAGCACCTCTGCCTTGTGCAAGCTGTTTGGTGCTGATGACACCAGGAGGGCCTCACACACACCTGTGTCCACCAGCATGGGCCACCACTGGCCCTTTCCTGGCCCACAGGTTCATAATTCGTGTTGTCTTTTCACCACCCTCATTAAAGCCAGCAAACAGCCTTCTGTCCACTCCTGCTGTGCTCAGAGCAAGGGCAATAGTGCCAGTCCTGCAGGGTCCTGGGGGGATGTGTGCCCCACACAGCCACAGCCCTCCCCCCATGCTACTGCTGAGCCCCCTGGACAGCTCCCAACTCCTCCCTGCCCCAGGCAGGGAATCTGTGGTCCCACAAAACCTGCATCTCCTGGCACAGCAGCAGGAGGCTCTCAGGAATGGCTCCTGGTGCTGCTGCTCCAGGCTGAGTCCCAGCCCTTGCCCACCTTTCCCTGCCTGCTGTTAAGGCCAAGCAGCTGGTACCAGCTGGCCCTTCTGCCCCTTCCCCTGCTCCATGCACATCTTCAGCTCCAGTCCATGCACATCTGCTCCATGCACATCTGCTCCATGCACATCTGCCCCCTGCACATTCCCTGCTTTGTGCCCACGTGTTTGGTGCCCACCTCCAAGGGAAGTGGGCCAGTGGCAGGAAACCAGAGGGCCGAGGTGGCCATGGCAGGAAGCTGCAGGTCACACTCCACACTGGCCACTGCTGCAGCCCCCAGCAGCACCCAGTCACCACATACAGCCCCCAGCCGTGATCTCCCCAGCTGTGGCAGCTGAGCTCCCACCAGCTGTGGCCCCAGCAGCCCCCTTGGCAGGAGGAACTGAGGCCAAAACAGGCTTTCCAGGCAGAGGAACCTGCTGCCAGCACCGCTGCCTGTGACCTTGAAAGCTGATACAGTCACCAGTTTTCAGCTCTATCTACTTTTTTTCTGTGAAATGAGAAAAGAGAAGTGAAATAAGACAGTGTGACCCAGGGGAGCAGGGCTGGCAGGGGAATCCTTGAGGGGACAAAATTGTCACAGCGGGGAGAAGAGTCACTAAAGAAATTGATTTGCATGACTGAATACGAGTCACCTGCTCTGGGGATGTCAGGTGGGGACAGTTTGGGGTCACTCCTCTCTCAGGGACAGCCTGGGGACACTCAGCACCCCATAGGCACGGTGGTGGTGATGAGTTTGTCAGGTCAGGGGTCCAGCACCTGGCCCCCTCAGTGGGAAGGTTGGGGTGTTGGGGTGAAGCCTCTCTCAGCATCATTTCCCGAGTGGAGCCATGACCGGGCCATGAATCATTTCCCAGCTGAGGAAGTGGCTGCTCTGAGCAGGGCTCTGTGCAGGGACAGCACCAAAACTGGCAGAAATTTCACACCAAGGCTGTGAGCACGAGTATGTAAAATACGTGGGTGAGACCGAAACCAGGGATAGACCTCGAGGAGTGGAGGAAATGAAATTCAAGGGGATTTACAGCTTTTTAAGCACTGGGCTGAATCAGGAGAGGGGAAATTCAGTTTGATAGGAGCATATGCAAAGAAGGGAGTGAGCAGAGCACTGGCAGAATGCTCTGCACCTAGGAAAGGGCCCAGGTCTGCGGCTTACTGCCCAGGGGAGGGATTTGGTGGTTATTAAAGGAAAATCCTTTAAGCCTTCA